AGTTTTTTTTACGAAAAAGGGTTCTTGATCTCTCAATTCTTAGATCAGTAGGAAGCATATTCCAAAAATTACTACCAACAAACGAAACTGAAAACTTCCCTTGGTCTGTTTTGAATAAAAGAAGACGTAATTGTCGACCCGTTTTTGTCTTGTGGAATATTCATGTTGTATCATACTGCAATAATGTTTTAAGGATTGAGGTAATCGTGCATTTATCAAATCAAACACAAAAGTACAAATAGATAATTCATGCAATTTAAAGACATTCAACAATTAAATGTCATGAAACAGTGCATCAGTATGAGAACGATGTGGCTTGAAAGTTATAGCACGTACAGCGATCCTTTGAGTACAAAATATACAATTCAAGTGTGATTTATAAGTACTACCCCAAACCTCGATGCCATATGTAATACGTGGCTGTATCAGAGTTTTATACAACAGTATCAATATATGTTTAGGAACAAAGTGCCATAATTTAAAGAGGATACCGACCTTTCTCTCTGTATACAGTCATTAACAGATTTTATATGTGAATTCCATGTTAAATATCTGTCAATGGTAATGCCAACAAATGTCGCTTTTTCCACTTCTCTTAATTCTGCCTCAGATATTTTTAATCTCCCTCTAAGCACGGCCTTTCTTCTATGACTACTAAAGAACATGAAATTGTTTTTTGACGCATTGGTAGTAAGCTTATTTGCAGTGCACCAATTCTGTATTGATTTTAAATGTTCATTTACTTCACACTCATCTATTCGATCTAAAAGTATGAACAATATTAGAATCATCTGCAAATAGTCTGAAATTGAAATAACTTGTCACAGTTGGCAAGTAATTTATATAGATTAAAAACAGATTTGGTCCTAAGACAGAACCTTGTGGTTCACCACATTTGATATGTCTACTTTCTGATGATGACTCTTTGTATTTTCCAACTGCATTCTGTCACTAAGATAGCTTTCGAGCCATTTCTGTGCATGTCCGAGGATGACACAAAAGAATAGCTTTTTAAATAATATGTTATGGTTTATTGTGCCAAAAGCCTTTTGAAAGTCAAGAAAAACACCAAGCGTAACACATCCTTGGTCCATACTAATCATTACTGTATTCATAAGATTAATAACTGATTTATTATTAATTATAACTATTAATATTTATAATTGATTAATAATAATAGATTAATTATTTCTCAGCCAAGAGTTCTTGGTTCTTGACGTTTCGATTAGTATGCTCTTATCGTCTTCAAAAGAAGACATACACATTCAATCTGTTGGAATTCTCACGTATTCCGTATGAAAATAAAGATGTCTAGATTATATCTTCGTGGTCTTACATTTACTAGATTGTAGAGCCCAACGTCAGTATCATTGTATGTGTGTTTATTACATAATGTGTATGTTTGTGTTCATCTTTGCTCCTTTCATTGTACTTGGATTTCATTTTCAATGGCTTTCTTTTTATTCCCAATCTCTGATCCTGTTCTCTCCCTTTCCACTTCTTTGTTTCTTCTTCAGGGAAACAACAAAGAGTACTAAGGAAAGAAAAGAGGCATAGATGATAGAAGAGAAATTGATAGAAAGAACATAAAAGAGCGCAGTATATTCTTGTGACTTTATGGGGTATTGGAAGTGCTTAGGTCATTTTCTTTATGGGGGGGGGGTATATTTTCTCAATTCATGTTGTCCGGTTACTTCAAAGATTGAGGTCCATCTACAAGATTTAGAGTATTCTTTGATGTTCTAAGGCATTTAAGTTACGTAATATTAGGGTAATGTTCGTCGTGTAAATATATGCTGTTTGTGTTTGTATTTGTATTTATTAGAAAAGTTAATTCACATGATTTCGTTTTACAATACATTGGCATGATGTATATTACAAATGTATATACCAAAAATCAGTTAATAGATACAGGTACATGAAAACAATATAAATAATAAAGAAAAATCTCGACGAAATCAAAAGGTGATACGTATACATACCGTACATTTCACTCGTATTGTAAAAGCATGTTTAAATATTACTTCAATTAAGATTAGATGTTTAGAAAATTACAAACGGTAATGCATATAAACAAAATTGTGTTGATAATGTACCTGCCTGTGTATTGCATATTTCATAGCACATACTTTTAACGGAAAGAATAATACATTACGGAAATTAAAATGTAAGTTATTTTGGGGCACTGTTGTTCGAGGCTTGCTAGAATATTGATGAAGTGACTTCTGAATCAATAAAAAAGCAAGTGCTTCGGTGCATACCTTTTTGCTGAATTCTCCTAAACAACTTATTCTATGTGACGCTTACTCATTTTCTAAAGTAATGACAATTTGGGAAATGCTAAAGTATTCAGGACTATGTTTACTACGTTTATAATTTATTTACCTTAGGAGAACTGTTTACACCTATGTACGGTATTTGAGGCTAGGTAGCGTATTTGACAATTGATTTCAACCAGGAATTTGATGAAGGTTACGTGCAATATTTCACAAATCTTTTAAGACTTATATCATATTATAAATGACGATGATTTATAACGGAGGGGTAGAATATATATATATATATATTTATATTTACATATATCAGAGAGAGTGAGAAAAAAAGATAGACATTGAAGAGAATGACGTAAAAGGGAGAGACAGGCAGAGAGAATAATTACCAATTAAATATAAAATATTTTATCCGAAGGGGAGGCTTCAACATTTTCTTTTTACCATTATAATATAAAATCAATGGGAGAGTTTTGAAAAATAATCATACTGACTTGGTACCATCAAGTATTTGCATTAAAAAAAAAATCATTATCAGGTGTACAATTACACACACACACACACACACACACACATGCATTCACTTACACTATTATTACTGTGGATAACTTTTACACTATAAATTTAAAAATATCTCATCCTGATGCTAAATGAGAGTATTTCAACCTGGTATATCTGCATGGTTCTTTCTGTGTTAAAAAAAATGAATATCATGGAGAAATCTGAGAGTTTAGCGCTGTAAGTATCTGAAAAAATATAATCGCCAGTAACAATGAAAACAATTCCATAGTAAACGAAATTCACGATCGGAGCACAAATCACGCGTTACTATATTTTAATTTTAATTCATAAAATAATAATTTATTACGCGTCAATTCAGGAAGATTAAATATCATGAAAGACACTGGCACTGCTGTAAATTCCAAGTTAAAGCAACAACTGATGTCAACATTTATGGAATTCCAAAGGCTTAAGCAAAATGGAATGTTTACTTTTATTTAAACATACACTATCCTTCATTTAGAAATGAAGCGTAATACAAAAGTTGAGTAAAAGTAATAATAATGATGATTAAATTACTACTTCTACTATTACCACAACTACTACTACTACCATCTTCAGTGTTGTTCTTCATGAAGGCCCTTTAATTAGCACAACACCAACAATTGTCAGATACCCATTAACACCTGGGTGGACTGTAGCAATGTAGGATTATATGTCTTGCCAAAGAGCATAATTGCTGGGCTAGGATTTGAACCCTCAACCCTTGGAGTGAGAATCAATTGAATGAACCACTATACCACGACATATTCCCACGTACCTCGCTTTCACGCTATGGGTCTTTGGTTGAATTGTGCTATTTATCTAAAGTCGGTGTATCATTCCATAAATGAACATAAATAGGCTGTTGCCCATGGAGTTAAAATAAAATTCTCTTATCTCTTTCCATGAAAACATTGTAACAATACGATTTATTTGGTTTATATCTTTCCAGATTTTTATTGATCATTGTAATTATTGATTGAATATGTTCTGAGAAGATATATTTCTCAAGAATAAATCTCATTGTTACCATCATGATAAGAAAAGAATTTATACTAATTTTTACTCCGACTTCCTGAGTATAGATAAAACGAAACAGAGGTCGAAGGTTTATGAATGGTCAAGTTTGATAAAGTGGTAGTGAAGGTACCTTTATTTCTTATTTTAAATACATGTGGAAAATTCCGTTTGAAAGTTGCTGAATGGCAGGAAGCAAGATGATTGGTCACAATGGTGATGAATCATTCAATGATGATAATATAAATAATGATAATAATACAAATAATAATACACATGATAATATTAATAATGGTGATACAAATAACAAATACAGTAATAATAAATATAATTATTAATAACTATCATATTTCTGTCGGCACATTTCAGACTGAATCATTGATAAACCATATGAATTCATTTCCCAAAACATTTACGTAAATTTAAAAATCCGTTAACTACTGAATTCTCATGTTCCCTAGGACTTGTCGGAAACAGGAAGCATCCTGTTCCATTAAACAGTGGGTTATGGTCATTTTCACAGGGGCTAATGAAAAACAACAATTAATTAATGAATATTTTTGGTGTCTTTGCAAGTATTTTTTGGTGTGATTTATGAACAATAATGATATAGTCTTAGCCTTAGACGTTTTATCGCAGAAAGAATAGAGCAGTGGTCTCGTAACTGGGATTTCTGGGTTCGAAACCAAATCAATGCGCTAGTGCCCTTTGGAAATGCATAAATACTTATTACTAGGTCCCTTGGAGAGGAATTATTGCAGTTGGTCCCCTGATTGATTACTTATAATCATACAGATGCTTTATTAGCACTCGAGTAGAACAAACAACCGATATCATGAAAAGTATTTGTGGCAAGTATAATTAATCCAAATTGGTTGCCAAACAAAAATAAGAAATAACAACAATGACTAATGTGCGAAACAGGTTATAAAGTTTCCATCTGCACTTACATTACTAATACACCTGTAAGCCCGGATTATTAACATTGTACATATATTGCCAGATCATATATATATATATATATATATATATATATAACATAAATATACATCCTCATGGTTTTTATCAAATTGTAGATTGTTAGCTAAAAAAATAGACGAAACCCTGTGTCTCCCAAAAGAAAGTATTTATTGCCTTTCATATAATAATACCAGTATATATATATATATGAAATGAATGAATGAATAAATCATTCAGTGGAAGGTGAATTGATAATCATATTACAAAGGAAAATGTAAACGCAAAATGAGTATTCAATACATATAACAAAATGGCGCTACTTAAAGATAAAGTTTGGTTCTGGTCATGTGACTGGATTACGAAACAAAGTGATGGCGATTGGGAAAAATGTATGCAGATAGCAATTAACATACAACAATTGATGTTTACTGTTATGTTTCAGAATCATCAAAAATTATAATGGATTGCCCAGTTTTGCTGAGAGTCCACAAACTTTTGTAATTTATTTCGAAATTACATTGAACATATAGGTAGCTGAAGTAAAATTTGTTTCAAGAGGCATTTTTTCCCTTTGAAAATTCCTACGAACAGCTCATACACATTTTCTTTATAATTCCCAGAGCTTCTTTAAAAAAAAATAGATTTCCTGATCCAGCGTCTGAAAGATTTCTTCAGTAGGTGAAATAGTTCCGTTCAACCCCAACCTGTTCAATGTATAAACAAGAAGGAGAACAGATAATTTAACAAAAAGAAGAGAAAAAGAAAACGGAGTAGAAGAAGAGGAAGAAGAAGATGAAGAAGGTGTTAAAGAAGAACAAGAAAAAATGGAAAGAGAACAAGAAGAACAAAATAGGTTAAGCACAATTAAGTTTTCCATTTTCATGTTATGAATATGTATACACCTAAAATTACTGTGCAAGTGACAATTTTCTCATAAGTGTATTCATACTTAAACACAGCCATTTAATAGGTAGGTTTGCAGTTCCTTCTATAGATATTAAGTTTGTTATTACATGTTAAGCTGTAACAGATGTATTTAATGTCTTAAAATTTATGTGCGAATTGGAATTCCAACTAATGATTTTGTTTCAAAACCGAAATCCTATGCAACTCAGATAGTTTAACTTTGAATTAATCTAGCCCAACAACTTTAGTGCCATAATTTAGTTAATTCAGCCGAAAATAATCTATTATAGTGAGTTATTATGGCATTTTCATTATTGCTTGTAACAACCCCGACAGCCGTTTAGCTAGTGTAAAGTAAGTTAAATCTGCTTACATTGGTTTGGGCACTCATTTTACATAAGTGCATCAGTCTGCAATGTCAAACATAGCTATTAGCCTATGAGCACTTACTGCTGTCCGATTATTGCTTTGTGTTGCACCTGATCAAATCTTTAACATGGTCGCAAAGACTGTCAAAAAAAATCTACTCAAGGGCGAATTTTGATACCCTATCGATATCGCAAAAATGTCATGTTCAAATCCATTATTGTAATGTTGGCACATTTGAAGGGAAAGTCCTTCCTGATATTTATTTGAGTTTTAATAAAAGCATAAACATGAGAGATACAAATTAGTGAAAGTTTGAGCAATATCTAATTCAAAATAGGAACAATTTGAATTATTTAAGTTGTCATCAGTCGAACAAAAACACTGGGACATATCTTGCGAGCTCCTCTCCAATTTGCTATCTACAGAAAATGTCATAAACTTTTGTTTCCTTAGTTATTGATGACGTAATAAATTAAAGGAAATTCAAATTTTGGAAGTGTTTAGTACAGGGTAAATTGGAGGGGAGCTTTCAAGATATATCACAGAGTTGCCAATATGTATTTGATTTATCGCAACTTTAAAATCCATAACTTTCTCCTCTTTAAGCAGATTTTGCTCAAACTATCAATGACGCGCTTCTCTCGTTTTTCTGCTTCTATTAAAACCAATGGACAAGGCTATTGAATAGGTTGATGTTATAAAAGTATTTGCAATCGTGCTACAGGTTTACACAAAATTAGCGCCTATACAAGAAGATATAAACGTAATACAATTCAATGGTGTTTCTATTAGAGACTCACATTGTCATCTCCTCCTACGATGTATGGTGTCTGGAATTGTCCATTCTGAAAAAGAAAATCACATAGAAACTTAAAACGGCCCATCACAGACAAAGAAATGATCTTATGCCATTCTTATGGTATTTTTATCATATTTCCCCCAAAACATGTTAATGTCTAAAGTAGCCTATAGTTTTATTCAATTATTTCAATTCATATTTGAATTTATTAGGGTCTATATCAATTTTTCAGATAGGTTTCTTTGTATACAAATGTCAATTTGATATACATCTGTACAATTTTTCTAGTACAGTTACATAATTTGAATAATGTGAAATAAAGTTAAAATTCTGAATCCATACTAAATATAAAGTAGATAAAGCAGGGCTGGCTACAGCCTTAAGCATGGAGATTAATAATCTTGCAGTCCTATTTTGTCCACGTGAAAAAATAAAAAGAGTCAGAGTAACTTGCTATGAAGGAGAGAGAGACTAGGGAAAAGAGCATCGATTTTCTAAATGCGATAAAACTCAAACCTGTTAGTAATTAGGACTAAAGTGACTTACATAATGTTATCGGTGTTCACGGCCATAATCATTAATGTCATAAATGACTTGTCAGCCTATCCGCTGCACGATCTTTCCACCAAACTACTTATCCTTTTTAGTTAAATAGTTAAATATAAGTCATCAAAAGAATCCACTTAAAAAATAGACCCGGCCATTTTCCCTAAAATTAAATGTTCTGGTTAAGTTTTATCCCAAGTTTATCCAAGTAACTTACATCTTTTTCACTATCATGGTCCTGCCAGAATCTTTCTACCGCTTGGCCAACTGCATATTCACGGCGATCGAGAGAATTGTAGCTTCCCGATCTCTCCCATGGATCATCACTGTTAGAGGCAGGGGTTTCCCCGCTGTACGGACTACGGTACTCCTCTCTGTAAAAAGATCAAAATTGCAATCATCACAATAAAACTAAAATTATAATTTTGATGACAATTATAATAATATTAATAATGATGCTGATAAAATAATGATAATGGAAATAATAATTATAATGATAAAAATAATGATAATGTTAATAATATTAATTTTCATAATAATAACAATAATTAATATATGATTAATAATATTGATGATAACGATGATACACTGTTGGTCATAAAGGCGGAATAACTTGTTTTACCTCAATTTATGGAATGATTTTGACAATGATTTATTCCTAATAGATCTAGATAATAGTATACATTATCATATTTTATGTGTTTTTTCTCGTGAATGCTAAAGCATGTGTATGCTACTATGTTTATCCACTAGGGGACCTGCATCCTTAAGTCATAACTGACAGCCAAAAAGAAACAATCCTTAAGGCATGGTCTTACAGAGGAATTTTTCCTGTTGGAGACCAGGGGAAAATGCAATGAATTATTAATAATTTATTGCATTTTCATATTTGTGGGGGTTGCCCACTACCCTAGCCCCTGCTGCGTACTGTCATGATTTAGAGGCAAAGCAATGGCCTCGTAACTGCACTGTCAGACTAGGATGACGGCATACTGCATATGTTCTGTACTTTAGCTGCCCCGGACGCATCTTATTTTTTCGTACCACAGCGAGCCCAGATTCCAGTATGAACTCTTGTTCATACATAACTAGCTACAAAAGCTTCCAAAGAGGTCACAAACAATTCGACTTTGATTATTCATTGCTTTGCCTCACTAGTTATAAAGGCAAAACAAACTGAATAAAATACTGAGATTCGAACCCTCAAATCAACTCCAAAGTTTTATTGGTGTTACACTGTCTTTACCAATTGATCTAATGATGGGTTGAAGAAAGGTTGATTTGTATAATTACTATCACCCTGTTAACAACCCTACCGGATTCCATGTACGCATGCGCTGGTTTCCTTCGTGAGCTCAATCTGGGCTCGCCATGGTAAGAAAACATAAGACGAGCCCCCTGGACAGAGTCAGAGACTGATAGAGCTAGGCTGAAGGCTCTAATAAGTGAGGTGCCTGCAGACTCCCCACCACCTGGATTCACAGTGGTAATTGGCTTACCCTAGAGCAAACTTTGCTGCGTTCTTCCGTGATACCTGTATCAAGAGACAGCACATGCAGACGATGATGGAAAGAATACCTGCGACGATACCTAGCACGATAGCGATGATCAATCCATTAGACAATCCTTGTGGCTCTGCAACGTGGGAAAGGGAATAAAAGTTGTTGGTTTTAAAATTTATATTTTGATGACTTTATGAATTGTGAGTTCTAAATATAGTCTGTGGATAAATTGGTTACTTCTAAATGCTTAGTACAGATGAATTTGTGAATTTGTTAGTCTTAAATATTAATTTGAGATGAAGTTATGACCATCTTGATGAGATTTCTGAACAATAAACCTTTGTTGGGTAGGTTCTTTTACATAGTAAACCAAAAAATGAAATGGGATAGTTTTTTTCAGGTAAATTTTAGATGAATTAGTGACCACTTTGATCAGATATCTAAATGATAAGATTCGTTTTTTCAGAGCAGAGGTGCATGGTAAAAAGTATCACATTTCATTTTTGAGATAAATTTACAGACATTTTGAAAAGATTTATAGTTTTAGTGTATATTACTTTACTTCATGAATTTGTTTGTTTTTTGTAATGTTAATTTCAAATTATTTTAGAAATGCATTTTAAATTTTCATTTCAGAATTTATGCTCACTTTGATCAGTACAAGGAATAGACCTTTAATAGTGATGGTATGCATATTCTTTTTAAACAAAAGTTTCCTTTTACGACTGAAAAGCTTGCCTGAAGCTTGTCAGTCGTATCACGTTGTGTATTGCATAGTTGGTAACCAAGGATTTGGGAGAGAAACAAGCATAATTAAAAATACATTGATACATACATAGTAAAAAGGGCAGCATTTCACGAAACTGTCATACGTACAAGTTTGCCGACATCTGATTGAAACACGAGTTAATTTAATACACAGGTTTCAAAAGGATGTCCGTGAACTTGTACTTCTGACGGCCTGAAAAAGCTGCCATGGACCCTGTTTCATAAAATTGGGTATCAATAACAAGATTCCATAATTCTTATAAGCTACTGAAATGCCTATATTTGATTGGCTACGAGCAAAATTTTCAAATATCTGATTTTTTTTATCGTTAACTGCTGCTGCTAAAACAACAATAGCTACTACTACAATAAATAATAAAACTAAAACACATACTTCTACTACTACTACTTCTACTAATACTGTTGCTGCTACTACTACGCCTACTATCAATGCTACTACTAAAAGTATGATGTAGACTCTATGCAGGATAAGTAATGTTGTAATTGTTCTCTTTGTAAAAAAAACCTTCATAGTTTTCTATACATGTTTCAGTTTCATCTTCTGTTTATGTTCTTGTTATATTTTTATATACATGTATATTGTAAAGCGCATTGAAATGTCAACAGACATGAAATGCGCTATAAAGGAACAAAGTATTATTATTATTATCATTACTACCACTACTTTACTACTACTATACTACTACCACCACTACTACTACAACTACTACTTTACTACTACTTTACTACTACTATACTACTACCACCACTACTACTACTACTACTACTTTACTACTACTATACTACTACCACCACTACTAATACTACTACTATACTACTACCACCACTACTACTACTACTATTACTTTACTACTACTATACTACTACCACCACTACTACTACTACTACCACCACTACTACTACTACTACTACTTTACTACTACTATACTACTACCACCACTACTATTACTACTACTACTACTACTACTATACTACTACTAATATTACTACTACTACTACTACTAAAACTACTACTGCTGCATTCTACCACTATTACTTCTTCTATACCACGACCACCTCTACTGTCAAGACTAGAACAGGAAGAAGAGAAGAAAATTAAAGGAAGAAGAAAAAGAAGGAAAGAAGAAGAAGAAGAAAGCCCCCAAAAGATGAAGTGCGCCTACCTGTCGTTGTTTCTGTTTGTATTGTAGTAGACTCAGCTGTTGTCACCAAGCCTATGAAATGAACAGAGAAAGAAGATATACCACAATAATAATATTAATAATAATAATAATTTGTTCTTTTATAGCGCATTTCATGTCTGTTGACATTTCAATGCACTTTACAGTTTTACAATATACATAATTACTGTATATAAAGTATTATACGATCATTAATGGAAGATGAAACAAAAACATATATAGAAAACAATGAAGTGCTAACAAAAAGAATAATTATAACATTACTTATCCTTAAATACTATTGATGTGCTAATTTGAAGAGATGAGTTTTTAGGTCAGATATGAATGTTTCAGTATTGGATAAACAACATAATGAGTTAGGGAGGGAATTCCATAGAAATGGTGCAAAGAATACAAAGAATACTTAATATGTTTTGCATCCCTTACACTCTACCTGATGAGGATAGGACACTAAATTGAGGCCCAGTGGCCCGGTTTAATGTGTCACGTCTGAATAAGACTTAATACCGGATGAGGATATCGTGGGTAAATTTGGTCGCATTATTACACTGAAACTATATTATTATTACAACAAAAACAACTACTACTACTCCTACTACTACTACTACTACTTCTACTAGGTTTTACTAAAACTACTACATGTATACTTCAATTCCTTTGGAGCCTGCAATTTGGCTCGGTCAGGAAAAGCATCTGCCTATCGTACCAAAGATTGTGGGTTTGAATATCAACACAGGCAGATGACTGAAGCCTGCTTGTGGTACGTGGCTACGTACCCCTCCCCTGTTTCATAGACATAGGGTGTGTTACAGTGGAAAGCACTCTGTTCCCCAGAAAGGTCGTTATTATAATTGGGACCCTGTGTAGAGGAGAGTCACCACCTTTGCACGTTATTAACCCAATGCACTATGCCATAAAAGCAGGGTTACAATGATTCAGTTCGCTTTTAGCATCCAAGGCACATGTGACGCCAAATACTTAATAATACTAATGATAGTTCAAATTAATTCACATTGATTGGCAGTCATCCGCATTGAGCTTGCGAAAAACTTCCTAATACGGTTTTAAGACACAATATGTCCAGGTTCGTTCAAGTATGAAGAGGTAAACCGTGGCAGTGTTTTTAAATAATGTGTAAATGAATGGCAACTGCGCACAACGTTGTTCCTACCCGAAATTCACTTATAGCTCTGTGTTATCAGGTACCCAAAATCTGAAGCATGCACTAGCGTTAATATCATTATAAAGAAAAAATAACGCTGCGGTTTACCGCGTCATATCTGAACAGGACTAAATAACTCTACCAAGATCATTAAGTGGGAAAAAGGTATAAAGTCAATTTTACCGTTTGAGTTGACGTAGACTGGGAAGTATGTTTCATCGCCAACTACCGGTAGGTATCCTATATCCCTCGCGGTAACGATTCCAACATTATCCATGATGTTCTGTGCCTGGGAGGCGTTGTTAGCAGGGAAGGTCAAGTTAACATCTGTCAGTACACTGCCGCTTCTGAACCGTAATACTATGCATATGATAACGCCATTCGTCAGGCTCTCGAAATACTCAATCAACTGTATAGGGAAAAAAACACCCCAAAAGCTATACAATAGTCACTAAAGTTTTGCATGACCGATATACCACGATCTTTTTGTTTTAAGTTAAAGAATTATGTTTCCATTTGTTATCAGTTTCATATACAGTGCGTCCCGGAAAAAACAAAACCGATAATTATCGATATCATAACTTAATCACATTTATAATTGATAAATTATACATATTTGGAAAGCTTAGATCCTCCTCTTCCATAGCAACAGAGTTGACAACAGACTTAACTCCATTTAGTTGACAATCAGCCGTAGACATAAGACTTCATTCATGGCTGATTGTCAACGAAAGAGAGTTAAGTCTTTTGCCAACTCTGTTTGTTGCAACGCAGGCTCCCAGTGTATACAAATTTGTTTGATAAAATTATGGAAATGCAAGCACTACTTTAAACAAACAGAACTTTGTCATTCCTTGCTCATTTTTCCTGATTGAGGTGTCATATGAAGGGGCAGAACCTCAACTTTTTAGAAATGTGATTTTCTTTTTGAAATTCAGATACCGTCCGCCAAATGACTTTTTGGTTTCCTCTCTTCAAATTGCTTTTAATCACTTATGCGAGAGATATGTATTATATGAGTTGCATCAAATGAAAGAGGATCTAAGCTTTCTAAATATGTGTCATTTAGTAATTATGAATGTGACTAAGTTATGATAAAACATTGATAATTCTCGGTTTCATTTTTTTCTGGGACGCACTGTACTTGTATAGTACATGTATTTCCAACAAGTATTAATATTTACTAGCCAGGTTGAGCGTTCTTGGTCGGGGAGGAAAACCTGCGGGTTGTGCTGTTTCAATACCCACTGAGTTACTTTTGGGTCTACAACTAGTTTGTCTACTACCCAATTAGTCTGTTGCCATATGATCTACACCCAGCCCGTCTACTATCTATATGGTCCAATAATCAGTTCGTCTAATCTCAATTTAGTCTAATAACCAGTTAGTTAATTCCAAGTTTATCGAATGCACATTTTGTCTACCATACATATAAGGCCTAAAAATTGTATTATGATTAATATCAACCATTATGCAGTGAATGGCAAATTTTTTCGGACTTTGTGAGAGTGAGAATAAAAATGTGTTTCTTTTATTGAAGAACGCTACTGAACTTTGGTACAGCATGCAATATCATTGGTTGCCGATTTATTTTTTGCATTATTGAGTTTCTATCCAAGGAAATCTTATTGAAGAGAAGTTTGATTTCTGGTAAACGTGGAAATATTTGTTTTACTTTCTCATTCTTTCTTAGTATGTCAATCTAGAAGAAACTCATAGTAGAAATGTCCCCTGAAAAGGATATGTTTTTATTCACTCATGGTTGAAACATGACGACAACACTCACACCACAACTGATTGTTTTGGAAGCTGTCATAGGCACATTTCTTTTTTGTTTAAGTATCACTTCTGTTGCAAAGTAGCAAATCGTGCCCAAAACAACATTGACTTACACAAATATCCGTAGTATCAAAATGCCTTAATCAAATTGACGATCTTGCTATCATTTTATTTGGAAATCTTTCGCCTCCAATAAAAAAATAAAAAACTAGACTTTAATTCGTCACTTAGACGAATTAGGTGATACGTATGCTAATTGTTTACATAACGAAGAATGCAATACACGATATGTTATTTCATAAAATGCTTCTCCCATTATGATCTATCCATATGTCAAGTTTAAATTGTGTCCCCTTGATCATTAGGGATCTAGGGAAGATAGATTGAAACAATATATGACCATTGACCCTGTGCAGTAACCAGTTACAACTTGAACTCTAATTTACATCATGAAGAACACATTTTGACGATTTTTATCTTATTCAAAGAAATAAAAATGTTATTGATAAATGATTATCATCATTATGATCATGATGATCATGATCGTAAGCGTGATCCTGACATCTTATTGAATAAATGAGGGATGATTTAGTTTGTATATAGGCTCAGCTACATCATACTAAAAAATCAACAAAATCCAAGCAGAAATAACGGCGATATTGCTCAAAAGACAGGAATGTATAATCCAGATTTGAGAAAAAGTCATCTCCCATAGGGATTACATGCAAAAAGTAATGGATTGAGTGAAAATAGGGTAATAATAAAGAAAATGGGGTTGTTTATTACATTATTTGCGATTCTACGTGTTTTAATTATTAAAGGAGATGGTACAGTGAAAGGTCAAAAAGAAAAACAAAATTAAGGCATATATTGTGGGAGACACCCGGACTGTAACCAGGGATCTCGAGGTTTGAAGTCAAGTGCGTTACCGATATAGCAAAACATTTCCCATAGCGATTACACGTAAACGGGAAATGGAATTCTCAAATCCTACGTTGCGAGTAAAATTTGAGCATAATCCTGACATCTGATCGAAAAATAAAAGGCAATTTGTGATAGCTTATTGTCTCAGCTACAACATACTCGAAGCTCAGCGAAAACGAAGCTAAAACAATGGAGATTTTGCTCGCGAAAGACAGAAATGTAGAATCCAGTTTTGAGAAAAAGTCATGTCCCATAGAGAATACACGCAAAATGTGAAAAATTGACATGCCTCCTTTAATCGCAAAAATACGCCATGATGCCTTTGCCAAAATGAAAAATAGTGGTCATTCCATTTATAGACAATTGTCTCAGCTAGAACATATCAAAATTTGAAAGAAAATCGATCAATATTTACAGAAAAACAATCAATTTTCCAAAATTATGCTGACGTCATAATATGCAAATTAAAATTTTGAGTTTGGAGGCCATTATGATGACGTCATGAGTTAATTAAGGGTCAAATGAGACATGAAATCATATCTCCGACTCATAATTTATCTAAATATGAAAAAATATTGGGAGTTCCTATCTATTCTGAAGAGTTACAAAGAATTTTGTATAGGCATGTTTTTGCTCATGTATTGTGGATAAAGATAACGCAGGTCTGCGTGCTGTCAACTTTGACGGACGCTCATTGCGTTATTAAAAGGTTAACAAGTTATCAAAATGCTTGGAAAAATGTGCCAAATATGATGATAGAGAAAATTCGGCGATTCTATGTTGCAAAATGCTAGTACGCGCAAAAAGCGCGCGCGCATGCGATTGAGCATAATTTTTTGTCAAATGCTCCATATGGCCTGAAACGTATACAAAAAAATTTTGGGATGATTTAGAGCATTTTAAATTTTTGCACGCGCGCATTTGCGCACGTTTATTGACCTGAAATTGACTGGACGGATATTGATCTTAATCGTGATAATTATGAATGAGAAATACTTTTCCGTTATGAAGATATGATCATAAGTTGATTTTTCTTCCTCGAATTTGTTCGCAGGATATCTCAAGACTTAATAATTTATTGCATTTAACCCCGGTGCCTAACATAAAAAAAAAATCTGTGTGCCCATGCCTTGAGCCATAATGCATGGCCGTCAAGAGGATTTTTTTATGTTGGGGACCGGGGCAAAATGCAATAAATTATTGAAAATTTATTGCATTTTCTGTGTTTTTTTTAATTTATGGAAACTGCCCCCTACCCTAGCCCCCGCTGCGTACAGTCATGGTTTAGTGACAAAGCAATGGCCTCCTAACTGTTAGGCCCCAGGATCAAAACCGTGTCGATGTGCTATATTAGTGTCCTTTTGTGGGGCATTAATCCTCATTTCTGTCATTTATGACTTAAGGGCATAGGTCCCCTAGTTGATAAGCAAAGTAGCATACACATGCTTTAGCAGTCACGCAAAACACACATTGGCAAACTATTATTCAATAAAATCTGAGAATGTATACTATTATCTAGATCTATTATTTTTAAATTATTTTTAAAATAATTCCATAAATTGGGGTAAAACTAAAATATTCCACCTTTATGAGCGACAGTGTAAATAAAAAAATAAAAATCTTGACGAAATAAATAGGTGATACGTAGACTTCGTACGTATCACCGAAATATAAAAATTACAGATCTCATGTGTGCTTTTGGGGAGGTGGAGTCATCCTGTATAATGTAATGTGAATTTATGAACCTATGATGATGGATATGGACATAGTTAACAAAATCAAATCAAATCAATTAAAATAAAAAATACGTCAGGTAAGTTCTGTTGCAATATTTTCATGTACAAGTAATGCAAATGTATGTAGGTAATGCAAGTTTGTCAAATTTTTAATCAATGCATTCAGACAAATTGATATGAGGCACTCACTTTCTGATTTTTGTCTCCATTTGGTTTGCGAAATTATTGCTAAACTTAAAATTTATATGAAACATGTAACAATCAACTGCAACTGAAACTGAGAGGTTTAAATGTGTTAAAAAACTCACGCGGTTGCACACAGCACTGGCCAAATTGATGAACGCGGGAGACGATGAGTCTGCGAGATCACTCTGGTATGTGTTATTGAAGGTGATGACAAAAGAAATCACAACATCTGAAATTGAAGGAAGAAATCAGTTAATAATAATATTAATGAATAATATTAATGATGATTAGTAGATTTAATGACAACGATAATAATCATCATCATCATCACCATCATCATCATCATCGTCATCATCATCATCGTCATTATCATCATAATAATAATTGCCCAGAAACCCTAATTGTAACCTAAAACATAAGCTAACAACTGTAGCCAAAACCCTAACCCCACACCCAACTAAACAAGGCGCCAACAGCAATATTACCCCAATCACTGAATTAATTTTCGCAGAAGCCCTTATTTCAACTTAAACCATAACCTAACCTTAATTCTAAACCTAACCCGCGACAAAAATGGAACCAAACCCCTAACCCCATACACAACCGACCAAGGTGTGTTTACTTGATTATCAGTTGCTGTTTGGCTTTGGAAATGACAAATGTTGACACTTCTTACAAAGGCACTGGCCACGTGACATTCAGAAAACCCAACTCCTTTAAAGTACAGTAATGTGTCTCTCTTTAAAACCAAAAAAATATTGACCTTACCTGGTGTGTTGCCTGGTGTAGTACCTGGTGTTGTGCCTGGTGTTGTTCCAGGCACAGGCGTTGTTCCAGGCACAGGCCTTGTTCCAGGCACAGGCGTTGTTCCAGACACAGGCGTTGTTCCAAGCACAGGCGTTGTTCCAGGCACAGGCCTTGTTCCAGGCACAGGCGTTGTTCCAGGCACAGGCGTTGTTCCAGGCACAGGCGTTGTTCCAGGTGTTGTTCCGGCTGTCGTTCCTGGGGTTGTTGCAGGTGTTGTAGCTGGAGTGGTTCCAGGTGTTGTTCCAGGAGTTGTTCCTGAGGGAAAACATCAAAAGTTATATGTATTGATATAGAACTAAATAAGATATCTGCGCTTAGTTTACTTGATTTTCAGTTGCTGTTTGGCTTTGGATATGACAAATGTTCACACTTATTACAAAGGCACTGGCCACATGACATTCAGAAAAACCTAACTCCTTTAAAGTACAGTAATGTGTCTCTCTTTAAAACCAAAAAAACATTGACCTTACCTGGTGTGGTGCCTGGTGTAGTACCTGGTGTTGTGCCTGGTGTTGTTGCAGGCGTTGTTCCAGGTGTTGTTCCGGCTGTCGTTCCTGGGGGTGTTGCAGTTGTTGTAGCTGGAGTGGTTCCAGGTGTTGTTCCGGGAGTTGTTCCTGAGGGAAAACATCAAAAGTTATATGTATTGATATAGAACTGAATAAGATATCTGCGCTTAGCTTACTTGATTTTCAGTTGCTGTTTGGTTTTGGATATGACAAATGTTCACACTTCTTACAAAGGCACTGGCCACATGACATTAAAAAAAACCCAACTCCTTTAAAGTATAGTAATGTGTCTCTCTTTAAAACTAAAAAAAAATTTGACCTTACCTGGTGTGGTGCCTGGTGTAGAACCTGGTGTTGTGCCTGGTGTTGTTCCAGGTGTTGCTCCAGGTGTTGTAGCTGGCGTTGTCACAGGCGTTGTTCCAGGTGTTGTTCCGACTGTCGTTCCTGGGGTTGTTGCAGGTGTTGTAGCTCGAGTGGTTCCAGGTGTTGTTCCGGGAGTTGTTCCTGAGGGAAAACATCAAAAGTTATATGTATTGATGTAGAACTAAATAAGATATCTGCGCTTAGTTTACTTGATTTTCGGTTGCTGTTTGGCTTTGGATATGACAAATGTTCACACTTCTTACAAAGGCACTGGCCACATGACATTCAGAAAACCAAACTCCTTTAAAGTACAGTAATGTGTCTCTCTTTAAAACCAAAAAAAATTTGACCTTACCTGGTGTGGTGCCTGGTGTAGAACCTGGTGTTGTGCCTGTTGTTGTTCCAGGTGTTGTAGCTGACGTTGTCACAGGCGTTGTTTCAGGTGTTGTTCTGGCTGTCGTTCCTGGGGTTGTTGCAGGTGTTGTAGCTGGGGTGGTTCCAGGTGTTGTTCCGGAAGTTGTTCCTGAGGGAAAACATCAAAAGTTATATGTATTGATATAGAATTAAATAAGATATCTGCGCTTAGTTTACTTAATTTTCAGTTGCTGTTTGGTTTTGGATATGACAAATGTTCACACTTCTTACAAAGGCACTGGCCACATGACATTCAGAAAACCAAACTCCTTTAAAGTACAGTAATGTGTCTCTCTTTAAAACCAAAAAAAAATTGACCTTACCTGGTGTTGTGCCTGGTGTAGTACCTGGTGTTGTGCCTGGTGTTGTTCCATGTGTTGTTCCAGGTGTTGTAGCTGACGTTGTCACATGCGTTGTTTCAGGTGTTGTTCCGGCTGTCGTTCCTGGGGTTGTTGCGGGTGTTGTAGCTGGAGTGGTTCCAGGTGTTATTCCGGGAGTTGTTCCTGAGGGAAAAAATCAAAAGTTATGTGTATTGATATAGAACTAAATACCTACATTCAAGATATCTGTGCTTAGTTTACTTAATTTGCAGTTGCTGTTTGTTTGGCTTTGGAAATGACAAATGTTCACACTTCTTACATAGGCACTGGCCACATGACATTCAGAAAACCCAACTCCTTTAAAGTACAGTAATGTGTCTATCTTTAACACCACAAAAAAATTTGACCTTACCTGGTGTGGTGCCTGGTGTAGTACCTGGTGTTGTGCCTGGTGTTGTTCCAGGTGTTGTTCCAGCTGTTGTAGCTGGCATCGTCACAGGCGTTGCTCCAGGTGTTGTTCCGGCTGTTGTTCCTGGGGTTGTTGCAGGTGTTGTAGCTGGAGTGGTTCCAGGTGTTGTTCCGGGAGTTGTTCCTGAGGGAAAACATCAAAAGTTATATGTATTGATATAGAACTAAATAAGATATCTGCGCTTAGTTTACTTGATTTGCAGTTGCTGCTTGTTTGGCTTTGGAAATGAAAAATGTTCACACTTCTTACAAAGGCACTGGCCACATGACATTCAGAAAACCCAACTCCTTTAAAGTACAGTAATGTGTCTCTCTTTTACACCCAAACAAAATTTGACCTTACCTGGTGTGGTGCCTGGTGTAGTACCTGGTGTTGTGCCTGATGTTGTTCCAGGTGTTGTTCCAGCTGTTGTAGCTGGCATCGTCACAGGCGTTGCTCCAGGTGTTGTTCCGGCTTTTGTTCCTGGGGTTGTTGCAGGTGTTGTAGCTGGAGTGGTTCCAGGTGTTGTTCCAGGAGTTGTTCCTGAGGGAAAACATCAAAAGTTATATGTATTGATATAGAATTAAATAAGCTATCTGCGCTTAGTTTACTTAATTTTCAGTTGCTGTTTGGTTTTGGATATGACAAATGTTCACACTTCTTACAAAGGCACTGGCCACATGACATTCAGAAAACCCAACTCCTTTAAAGTACAGTAATGTGTCTCTCTTTAAAACCAAAAAAAAATTGACCTTACCTGGTGTGGTGCCTGGTGTTGTTCCAGGTGTTGTTCCAGGTGTTGTAGCTGACGTTGTCACAGGCGTTGTTTCAGGTGTTGTTCCGGCTGTCGTTCCTGGGGTTGTTGCAGGTGTTGTAGCCGTAGTGGTTCCAGGTGTTGTTCCGGAAGTTGTTCCTGAGGGAAAACATTAAAAGTTATATGTATTGATATAGAACTAAATAAGATATCTGCGCTTAGTTTACTTAATTTGCAGTTGCTGTTTGTTTGGCTTTGGAAATGACAAATGTTCACACTTCTTACAAAGGCACTGGCCACATGACATTCAGAAAACCCAACTCCTTTAAAGTACAGTAATGTGTCTCTCTTTAACACCCCAAAAAAATTTGACCTTACCTGGTGTGATGCCTGGTGTTGTACCTGGTGTTGTGCCTGATGTTGTTCCACGTGTTGTTCCAGCTGTTGTAGCTGGCATCGTCACAGGCGTTGCTCCAGGTGTTGTTCCGGCTGTTGTTCCTGGGGTTGTTGCAGGTGTTGTAGCTGGAGTGGTTCCAGGTGTTATTCCGGGAGTTGTTCCTGAGGGAAAACATCAAAAGTTATATGTATTGATATAGAACTAAATAAGATATCTGCGCTTAGTTTACTTGATTTGCAGTTGCTGTTTGTTTGGCTTTGGAAATGACAAATGTTCACACTTCTTACAAAGGCACTGGCCACATGACATTCAGAAAACCCAACTCCTTTAAAGTACAGTAATGTGGCTCTCTTTAAAACCAAAAAAAAATTGACCTTACCTGGTGTGGTGTCTGGTGTTGTTCCAGGTGTTGTTCCAGGTGTTGTAGCTGACGTTGTCACAGGCGTTGTTTCAGGTGTTGTTCCGGCTGTCGTTCCTGGGGTTGTTGCAGGTGTTGTAGCCGTAGTGGTTCCAGGTGTTGTTCCGGAAGTTGTTCCTGAGGGAAAACATTAAAAGTTATATGTATTGATATAGAACTAAATAAGATATCTGCGCTTAGTTTACTTAATTTGCAGTTGCTGTTTGTTTGGCTTTGGAAATGACAAATGTTCACACTTCTTACAAAGGCACTGGCCACATGACATTCAGAAAACCCAACTCCTTTAAAGTACAGTAATGTGTCTCTCTTTAACACCCCAAAAAAATTTGACCTTACCTGGTGTGATGCCTGGTGTAGTACCTGGTGTTGTGCCTGATGTTGTTCCACGTGTTGTTCCAGCTGTTGTAGCTGGCATCGTCACAGGCGTTGCTCCAGGTGTTGTTCCGGCTGTTGTTCCTGGGGTTGTTGCAGGTGTTGTAGCTGGAGTGGTTCCAGGTGTTATTCCGGGAGTTGTTCCTGAGGGAAAACATCAAAAGTTATATGTATTGATATAGAACTAAATAAGATATCTGCGCTTAGTTTACTTGATTTGCAGTTGCTGTTTGTTTGGCTTTGGAAATGACAAATGTTCACAATTCTTACAAAGGCACTGGCCACATGACATTCAGAAAACCCAACTCCTTTAAAGTACAGTAATGTGTCTCTCTTTAACACCCAAACAAAATTTGACCTTACCTGGTGTGGTGCCTGGTGTAGTACCTGGTGTTGTGCCTGATGTTGTTCCAGGTGTTGTTCCAGCTTTTGTAGCTGGCATCGTCACAGGCGTTGCTCCAGGTGTTGTTCCGGCTGTTGTTCCTGGGGTTGTTGCAGGTGTTGTAGCTGAAGTGGTTCCAGGTGTTGTTCCGGGAGTTGTTCCTGAGGGAAAACATCAAAAGTTATATGTATTGATATAGAATTAAATAAGATATCTGCGCTTAGTTTACTTAATTTTCAGTTGCTGTTTGGTTTTGGATATGACAAATGTTCACACTTCTTACAAAGGCACTGGCCACATGACATTCAGAAAACCAAACTCCTTTAAAGTACAGTAATGTGTCTCTCTTTAAAACCAAAAAAAAATTGACCTTACCTGGTGTGGTGCCTGGTGTAGTACCTGGTGTTGTGCCTGGTGTTGTTCCAGGTGTTGTTCCAGGTGTTGTAGCTGACGTTGTCACAGGCGTTGTTTCAGGTGTTGTTCCGGCTGTCGTTCCTGGGGTTGTTGCAGGTGTTGTAGCCGTAGTGGTTCCAGGTGTTATTCCGGGAGTTGTTCCTGAGGGAAAACATCAAAAGTTATGTGTATTGATATAGAACTAAATACCTATATTCAAGATATCTGCGCTTAGTTCACTTGATTTTCAGTTGCTGTTTGGCTTTGGAAATGACAAATGTTCACACTTTTTACAAAGGCTCTGGCCACATGACATTCAGAAAACCCAACTCCTTTAAAGTACAGTAATGTGTCTCTCTTTAAAACCAAAAAAAATTTGATCTTACCTGGTGTGGTGCCTGGTGTAGTACCTGGTGTTGTGCCTGTCGTTGTTCCAGGTGTTGTTCCAGGTGTTGTAGCTGACGTTGTCACAGGCGTTGTTTCAGGTGTTGTTCCGGCTGTCGTTCCTGGGGTTGTTGCAGGTGTTGTAGCTAGGATGGTTCCAGGTGTTGTCCTGGAAGTTGTTCCTGAGGGAAAACATTAAAAGTTATATGTTTTGATATAGAACTAAATAAGATATCTGCACTTAGTTTACTTAATTTGCAGTTGCTGTTTGTTTGGCTTTGGAAATGACAAATGTTCACACTTCTTACAAAGGCACTGGCCACATGACATTCAGAAAACCCAACTCCTTTAAAGTACAGTAATGTGTCTCTCTTTTACACCCAAACAAAATTTGACCTTACCTGGTGTGGTGCCTGGTGTAGTACCTGGTGTTGTGCCTGATGTTGTTCCAGGTGTTGTTCCAGCTGTTGTAGCTGGCATCGTCACAGGCGTTGCTCCAGGTGTTGTTCCGGCTGTTGTTCCTGGGGTTGTTGCAGGTGTTGTAGCTGGAGTGGTTCCAGGTGTTGTTCCAGGAGTTGTTCCTGAGGGAAAACATCAAAAGTTATATGTATTGATATAGAATTAAATAAGCTATCTGCGATTAGTTTACTTAATTTTCGGTTGCTGTTTGGTTTTGGATATGACAAATGTTCACACTTCTTACAAAGGCACTGGCCACATGACATTCAGAAAACCCAACTCCTTTAAAGTACAGTAATGTGTCTCTCTTTAAAACCAAAAAAAAATTGACCTTACCTGGTGTGGTGCCTGGTGTTGTTCCAGGTGTTGTTCCAGGTGTTGTAGCTGACGTTGTCACAGGCGTTGTTTCAGGTGTTGTTCCGGCTGTCGTTCCTGGGGTTGTTGCAGGTGTTGTAGCCGTAGTGGTTCCAGGTGTTGTTCCGGAAGTTGTTCCTGAGGGAAAACATTAAAAGTTATATGTATTGATATAGAACTAAATAAGATATCTGCGCTTAGTTTACTTAATTTGCAGTTGCTGTTTGTTTGGCTTTGGAAATGACAAATGTTCACACTTCTTACAAAGGCACTGGCCACATGACATTCAGAAAACCCAACTCCTTTAAAGTACAGTAATGTGTCTCTCTTTAACACCCCAAAAAAAATTGACCTTACCTGGTGTGATGCCTGGTGTAGTACCTGGTGTCGTGCCTGATGTTGTTCCACGTGTTGTTCCAGCTGTTGTAGCTGGCATCGTCACAGGCGTTGCTCCAGGTGTTGTTCCGGCTGTTGTTCCTGGGGTTGTTGCAGGTGTTGTAGCTGGAGTGGTTCCAGGTGTTATTCCGGGAGTTGTTTCTGAGGGAAAACATCAAAAGTTATATGTATTGATATAGAACTAAATAAGATATCTGCGCTTAGTTTACTTGATTTGCAGTTGCTGTTTGTTTGGCTTTGGAAATGACAAATGTTCACAATTCTTACAAAGGCACTGGCCACATGACATTCAGAAAACCCAACTCCTTTAAAGTACAGTAATGTGTCTCTCTTTAACACCCAAACAAAATTTGACCTTACCTGGTGTGGTGCCTGGTGTAGTACCTGGTGTTGTGCCTGATGTTGTTCCACGTGTTGTTCCAGCTGTTGTAGCTGGCATCGTCACAGGCGTTGCTCCAGGTGTTGTTCCGGCTGTTGTTCCTGGGGTTGTTGCAGGTGTTGTAGCTGGAGTGGTTCCAGGTGTTGTTCCGGGAGTTGTTCCTGAGGGAAAACATCAAAAGTTATATGTATTGATATAGAATTAAATAAGATATCTGCGCTTAGTTTACTTAATTTTCAGTTGCTGTTTGGTTTTGGATATGACAAATGTTCACACTTCTTACAAAGGCACTGGCCACATGACATTCAGAAAACCAAACTCCTTTAAAGTACAGTAATGTGTCTCTCTTTAAAACCAAAAAAAAATTGACCTTACCTGGTGTGGTGCCTGGTGTAGTACCTGGTGTTGTGCCTGGTGTTGTTCCAGGTGTTGTAGCTGACGTTGTCACAGGCGTTCTTTCAGGTGTTGTTCCGGCTGTCGTTCCTGGGGTTGTTGCAGGTGTTGTAGCCGTAGTGGTTCCAGGTGTTATTCCGGGAGTTGTTCCTGAGGGAAAACATCAAAAGTTATGTGTATTGATATAGAACTAAATACCTATATTCAAGATATCTGCGCTTAGTTCACTTGATTTTCAGTTGCTGTTTGGCTTTGGAAATGACAAATGTTCACACTTCTTACAAAGGCACTGGCCACATGACATTCAGAAAACCAAACTCCTTTAAAGTACAGTAATGTGTCTCTCTTTAAAACCAAAAAAAATTTGATCTAACCTTGTGTGGTGCCTGGTGTAGTACCTGGTGTTGTGCCTGTTGTTGTTCCAGGTGTTGTTCCAGGTGTTGTAGCTGACGTTGTCACAGGCGTTGTTTCAGGTGTTGTTCCGGCTGTCGTTCCTGGGGTTGTTGCAGGTGTTGTAGCTGGGGTGGTTCCAGGTGTTGTTCCGGAAGTTGTTCCTGAGGGAAAACATTAAAAGTTATATGTTTTGATATAGAACTAAATAAGATATCTGCACTTAGTTTACTTAATTTGCAGTTGCTGTTTGTTTGGCTTTGGAAATGACAAATGTTCACAATTCTTACAAAGGCACTGGCCACATGACATTCAGAAAACCCAACTCCTTTAAAGTACAGTAATGTGTCTCTCTTTAAAACCAAACAAAATTTGACCTTACCTGGTGTGGTGCCTGGTGTAGTACCTGGTGTTGTGCCTGTTGTTGTTTCAGGTGTTGTTCCAGGTGTTGTAGCTGACGTTGTCACAGGCGTTGCTCCAGGTGTTGTTCCGGCTGCTGTTCCTGGGGTTGTTGCAGGTGTTGTAGCTGGAGTGGTTCCAGGTGTTATTCCGGGAGTTGTTCCTGAGGGAAAACATCAAAAGTTATGTGTATTGATATAGAACTAAATACCTATATTCAAGATATCTGCGCTTAGTTCACTTGATTTTCAGTTGCTGTTTGGCTTTGGAAATGACAAATGTTCACACTTTTTACAAAGGCTCTGGCCACATGACATTCAGAAAACCCAACTCCTTTAAAG